GCGATGAAATTCACTGGTAACCAAAACAGCTTTGTTACCGACAGTCTTTAAAATACCTTCTTTTATGTTCCACAAAAGAAAGTAAGTCATTCAGGTTTGAGTAAATGATTACATAATTAAAAAATTTAGGGTGAACTATCCCTTTAAAGTTTTTTTCCCTTTTTTAAAAAAATGAAATACTCTAAATAATAAACTAAATCTGCCTGCAGGTGGCAGTAAATGTCTGAGTCATTCATTCATTCGATTCGTTCAAACGGCTGATTCATTCAGGAATTCAGTAAAGGACTCTCTTTATGAATGGATCTTTGAATCATTGATTCACTCGATTCGTTCAAAACGTGGATTCATTCAGAAACTAAACACCGCTGTGTTTCTCACAGATGCGCAACAATTCTGCTGTGGCTTTATAGGTTATTTATTTTTGTTTGCAAAACTGAGCAAAAACAGAATATATTGTGTTTAAAATATAACACAATATAAACTTCTTATTTAGCTGCTGAACTGTTGTGTAAAATCACATTTGCACTCGTGATATTCGTGACAAATACAGAACTCATGTGATATCGCTTATCACGTGATATAAATATGAGACAAAAACTCATACAGGGGCATTTTTTGCCCCAATATCTTGAATTTTAGGGCATAACTGCATTTATGGAGTTGTTGCTCTGCATCATATTTATCAACAGTCAACTGTATGAAATGTAAGATGACGTCAGGTCTGGGGGCGGGGCCAGTGCGTTAAAATATTTTAATCCTGTTATTTTTTCATAACTAGTTAAGTTAACGGGTTAAACTGACAGCCCTAATTTTCAGGTGTGAACGCAGTGCAACTTCACCGTCAGATCTGAGAGACAACGACAAACCAAAGTGACGGTTGAGGAGATGGAGGTCAAAGGTCAGCGGTATTTTAAGGTTGGACAGAAGAAGGATCAGAAGCGGCCCGCGCAGGACGGGACCAAGAGACGAAGACTGGACGCCACGAGCGTGAGCTACTTCCGCCGCGTCAGCGAGCGACTGAATGAGGAATTCACAGAGGAGGAGGAGAAAGGTGAAGAGAGATCGCATCTGTAAAACTGGAGCTCTGCTCACTGAGGCCACATTTATTTAATCACAAATACAGTAAAAATTGTGAAATATTATTCCAATGTAAAACAGCTGTTTTCTATGTTAATATCTGTTAAACTGTAATTTATTTCTGTGATGCGCAGCTGTATTTTCAGCATCATTACTCCAGTCTTCTGAGTGAGTGTGTGTGTGTCTGTGTGAGAGTGTGACTGAGTGTGTGTGTCTGTGTGTGAGTGAGTGAGTGAGTGAGTGTGTGTGTGTGTGTGTGTGT